CCGAATATATTCCGCTTACTGATCTAGATAGAGCAAATTTATTACATATTACTTTCGGAATAAACAAACACCACCTGCTAGCAAAGATATCCCAGATATTTTTTACGGACTGGTTTCCACGGTTTCCCTCCTGATCTGGCGGATGTTTTGCGCCTTCCTGACAGATATTTTTTGCATGGCATAGACAATACAGCAATCGGCAAGGAAGAGAGAAAACCGGACCTGAAACTTTGGCGTGCGTCGACGAGAACAAAGTATGCAATTTCCGAACGGCTTGTCTTGGACAACACTTTACCGGAAGGCTTTGCTTTGTAAAGATAGAGTTTGGTTCTAAGTAAATATGAGCTTTATATCAACATCCGGTTACAAAAGCCACTCCGGAGATTTATGTTCAACTTGCACTCGGTTGTAGGTCACACAAATCATAGCATGCATAACAAATATAGGCATCATCAATCCCCATGAATGAAAATGTCACAGATTTGACATACCGAATTATTTGCAAGTTTTGCAGCCAGGTTTGACATATCTAATGATACGTGTTACAGAGAAGAACCAATGGTCGTTCATGGACGTTCTCGGTTATATTTAGTACTCGCGATAAACTCCCTCTACACTTGGAGCATCATTCCACGACATTCTAAAAACACCTCTTTGCATGATTTTTCATGGCCACTACCACTTAGACCGACCAAACTTTAATAAAATATCTGCATTAGATTTATCACACTTGGGTATTTTCAACTGCGTGCCGGTCGCACGTCACCTTCAGAAAGTAACTGACTGTTATTCCTGCCAGTTGCGAGTAACCATACACCAATTATCGCTTTCTGCGCCACAACACATTTATGGGCGCGTTTTGTTACTCTGGGTATATGGACGCTTTTTGGTGATATTTAGCAGCGTAACATCCTTGTATGCATAGGCTGTAAGCGGGAGCTGCGACAATTATTTGACTTATCTTTTATCCCTCATTTTCTGACTCGTAATTGAAAGATTCTAGTGACAAAAACTCGAGGCGGGCCATAACTTCCATGGTTTGTCATGTAAAATACTAGTCAGTCTGCCTAACTTCAATTCGGGCGACTCTTTTTGATGAAATCAAACAGGGCATATCATTCCTTGACGTTGGTAAACTTAGGGAAAATGAAATCTCGGTAGACCAGATAGTCGCCTCAGTATCGGTCTAAACCTCCAAAATTGCCGGAGAAATAAAAATCTCGGAGCCTTCGAAGTAGTTTGGAAGTAAATTGAGACAGATGAAATGGGGAGTTGTTTACTTGTCACAAGTGAACCCCGATATTTTTTGGAGAAAAGTTGTTCTTGGATTACGCGGAGAACAACCATCTGGGAGGGATTTCCCTTGTTTTTTCCCATCCCTAGTCGCTCACTCTCGCTCAGATGTAATTAAAGTTGACCGTACTTTTAATCTTAATACCGCAGTTTACTGCTAACTTTCGAAAAATGCGTCCTTTTCAAAAACTAGCAAAAAGAATGAAATCATTTTTAATTTCCATTTTCTCACATTGGTTCTGGTTTTTTGTGGTCTTGATGTAAATATTCATCTCTGATACCTCCCAGTTGTATTTTATCACAACTACTACGCAACTAAATTTGTGGCGTTGGCTTCAATATCACGACAAGATATCATGACGTCCGTTCATACATACCTACGGATAATTGCCTCTTTCACCATGCTCTTTGCGCACGACTTTTTAAACAGACTTCTATCTTGCGCTTCTTGTGAGTACAGGCAGCTTATGCGTTACCCGTAGATGTTTCGTATACGGCATATGTGCGGCTCAAAACGCTGTTCTAACTGCTTCAGCGTGTTCTATTTTTGTAGAATGCCCTGCGTAAGCACACTGATTATGAATATGCAAACCAAAGTGGAGAGTGCCTTGCGCTTCTCTTATTCTTTCCATGTAAAATCACTATATTAATGCCACCAAATTCGAGAAGATTGTAGGCGTAGTTCTTTGTATTCGCCTAGACTGAATACCCGGTGTATGAACCTAATTCCAAAGTTTTAATTAGCTGGGGATAAGCGAATGCCAATGAGGGAGTCTTGGTGGTCCTAACGGCTGATAAGATGTTGAACTGGTCGAGGAATTGAGGAACATAACTCGATTTCTCACAAGATATGGCAAGCAACGAACACACACTGTAAATTCGTTTGTCAAATTAATCACACAATGCTAACTGAGATAACTTGCTCAGAAAAAGCGTTTTTGATTTTTGTGTGATTGCTTCTAAAAAGGATGAATGAACCCTGTGAGCACATCGCTGCGTTTCCGAGTGATGCCCTAATGGTGTCTATGTACGGATTGCATCCCATTATCATCATCCACCGACCTATCTAGCACCACTCTAGTAGATACAGGAATCTAAATATCTGCTAGCAAGGGACGGCGTGAATTTATTGCACACCAGGTGCGGCTGAAACCCACAAAACGCAGAATACCACTGCTTGCTTGTGAACCCAAAGACCAGGATTAGATTTTTGTGGGGTCTCCAAATTTTCTGGATGAACCACCGCAACTGGATGCATAGTAGCAAGTTATGAAATTCATTGTCAAGCTACATTACGTGGAAACACAGTTCAAGCTTGTGCATCGTATCAATATCTCGCTGACTGGATAACCTAAAAATAGTTGCACGTTGCTCAGCATTTACAAGCAGCAATCTTGTAAATCAATGAGTCAGAATTCGCGTTACCCTTACCTCAACTCTCACCACAAACATGCAACTGTCTATGTGCATAACTGAGCATCAGTTAGCTTTACACGACATTTGTTCAATAGGCAGAAGCACAACCGGTTTTTTTGTGGAAGCTGGCATAATGCTCACACCGAAAGAAGACTGATTAGCGAATGTTATTAGAGTATACTAAATAAGTTCGCATGTTGTGGATTACCAGAATTCGATTAACGCACAAAATGCTTTGGAACGCGTGTGTACTTTACATCTCATTCTATATGTCATACTTGCGCCCCAAAACCAGTTCATGTTAAGGTGCAATACTGCTCCGTCAAACTACTCAATCAAACAATTGAATTTCATTCAGAAATTCAAACAGGCACCACCGTAATCCTAAGCACCACTATCCAACCTACTGAAAATCGATTTTTTATCCCGTGTACAAGCTAGATATTGAATTGATCAACCACACCACTTGCAAAAATCAGCAGCTCTGAAAAGTTTCATTTAGGAAGAATAAGCTGTGGCGGATCACACAGGCAATTCTGTAACCCACAACTCGTAGTGTAGAAAGCAGTCGGTTACGGCGAACGTCTCATTAAATAAACTACAAGGATTTAGTAAGCAGTCAGCAAGTAAAGCGTGAGCGAGAAAATGCTGCGAGCAACAGTGCAACTTGGAAAATTCAACTCATGATGAGCTCGAAGTGATATTTTTCATAAGACGATCATCATTGACAGTCAGTATTCCCTAAAGTTACCCGGTGCGGAGCAGTTCACTGCACCAGGCAAAACAGAGTGCAACGAATGGTCCAAAGTATTCCGCTGTTTGGCCGTAAGGTAGAATTTTGAATGGGGCAGGTCGTTGACAAATTGATTCTGTTTATTGAAATTTATAGAGACCTTCTCTATTTCTATTTTATCGCCTTACGCTGGAACATTTGGGGGAGCATCAGTCTCTTGAGCTTTAGTTCTCGAAAGTTGCTCTTCATGGAACGTCACAACAATTAAACGATTCAGTCACAAAAATATGATGGACATACACTCACTTCTAACGGGATAAAATTTCTTTCTTCCCCGCAACCCGGCATGGTGCATGTCAAAGGTGAGCCGAAAAATGATAGCGCAGCTATTGGAATTTTTTTCGCAGATTAAAGTTACTCGCTTCTCACAGATTCACTGGATTTTGCATGATTTGCAAGTTTGCATAGTTTTCAGCGGTTGCGCCAGCCAGGCAACATGTGTGTATTATTGTTCGAAAACGACTGTGCCATGATAAGGTGTACCTTTGGTTAAAGCGGGTTTTTGCAGTCGGCGCAATATGAGGAAATATTTCCCTTAAGGCCAGGTTTTACCACTCGTGAACGGTGAAATGTCATCTAGTGTAAAGTTGTATACAAGTGAACAACAAAAGAGCGGCCACAAGCTATTGGACACAAAAGTGGACATCTCATTTGTACACAGCTTTTGGAATGTTATTATTCTCAAGCGCTCCCTTGAGCCCACATGGGCGTCGTTCGATTATTGAAAATGTTGAACGAAAACACGTTGTGAATGCATAATTTTCGTAATCACACGGGGATATTAATATAGGTTATTCAACATGGAACGTGAGTTCAGGTTACCACTAATCATCCAATATCTGTCTTAACTCAGTGGTCTGAAATGAGGACCTAAAAACCGATGTAATTATAATGATCTTACCATTGTCATTCACTTGGTTTCATCACTCCATACACGGGGTGGGTTTTTAAAGTAAAAAGAGAAACATTAGCTCAGAATTGCACTCGAGAATGTCGCATGATAGTCAAGAATGTAATCGACAACCCGATAAACTTCGACTTTAATCACCGACTTTAATTAAGAGGAGCAAACGCCAACGTGTTGCAATATCCGCTAAGTGCCCCCGTAAATTGTCACAAAATGTTAAATATTCCTCCTGAGCTAAGTAATGGTCTTCGACGAGGCTGCATTATGTGCGTCATCACGTACCTCGAAATCAAACCACATTTTGTTATTTTATTTACCGAATAAATGCAAATTCACCCTTTTGTAATGCTAATGGGGTGGTAAACGTGCTGTCTGCACAAATTTTGCATGGGCAGTACACAAATTTCACAGATTCGATGCCACAGATTCAGTTGTGATTTAACTAGGCAGTATCAGTTTGGATCCCCAGATTTTCATATGAACGGAAAGACGGAGATTTGAGTAACCATTATTATTAAGAGCCAAACAACCGACATGTTGACGCACTCAGACTTAAAAGACACCAGGTAAACAGCCGTCAACGAAGCGTACAAAATCTTCTCCTTGTACATTTTTGAAAATAAGGGCTATCGCAAATGGCGAATCCTGAAAGAAGGAAGAATAAATAAAATTTAAAATGTGTCACTTTGTGCTGACATATAGTATTCACAACCAGACTCGACTGGAATCAAATGGAACTGGGTAATGCGACTTTCCAATAATAATTAGGAAGTACGAACTAAGACACTAAATTGGAAAACTCAGGCCACCAACGTCATGTTGTCGTCCATTTTGTAAAGACATGATGCTCTCTTCTGATAAATCAACCCGTCAAGATAACGAAAACACTCATCCATTGTAAGCCAAACGGTTTGTACTAAAATACGGCCTTGTACCATTCACAATGAGCACACCTAGACCTGAATGGATGAAAATCGCTGTCACCGCCACTATGAGTAAAATGAAGTTTGATATATATTTTTTGTAGGCCAAACAAATTTGTATGCGGAACACTTCCAACAACGTTTAGGATGATTACACCAGGAGTCTAATCCTGCATGAAGTTTACATCACAATTTCACGCAAGACTGTCATTTGCACGGTTGGTTAGTGACTCAACAGAAACTCTTCGGAAACCTGCCTGTGGGTCAAACGAAACTCACGGTTAAAGTAAAATAAAGTAGTGAAGTATTCATTAGCTGAAATACGTACATTTATGGAAAACCTGGGTACCCAAATGAAAATAACAGAAAGCTATCACATTTTACTTCAAACTTTGCCGCATAGCCAAGATAATTAATAGTTAGCTTTGGATGTTTTGTACTAATTGCAGACGTAAATATAAAGAGGACATAAATCTTTGTGATGTAGGCGTAGTAGAACATTGGGTGATTCTGAAAAAAAACTATTGAGTCCGTTTGAAGACTGTAGTGAAGCTAACCACTAAACGCTCATTTAACAAACTGGGCTAAATATACTTATTCCACTCCAATGACGTTCTTCTTTTTGAAATCCCATTACTGGATTGACTTAGAACTTGGAAGCATCAAACTACGAATGATTTGCACCATCTCAATAGAGAAAATAGATACTTGTATACTAATCTAAGTGACCGGAGCTGAAGGTAAATTTTCAGAGTTATGTAGCCTGATACGGAACGCTAATAAATAACCCAAATGGTTTCACCTAAATAGTGATGGACTCATTCATTAATATTTGCAACTATTCGAGCTAAGCGCGCCCCACCAACCCGCAGATTACGCCTATGTTCTGGAATGCACGGCGACAAAATGAATAGACGAAATTCGGGTCGAATACGAATGGAACTAATGCAAAGATGTTCAACTCAAAATCTCTATGCTGGTCAGGATAATGACGAAAGAATGCCAACTATCGAGTAATCTACAGTCAAACGTAGGTTAACGTACTTGTGCGGATGTTGACCTGAAATTACCGCAGCATTTTTGATGCAACCGTGTTGCAGAAGCTCCTGTTAAGATGTCAGGCGCGCACGTAACAGACTCACGTTTGGCTGCAGTCATCATCTCCTATACGGTTTATGTGGTCAAAATTACTTTGCCTGGTTCAAAGTACAAACGGTTAGAAAGAAAATACGGTAATCTGCTAGAAGTCGAGGTCACTAATGGGCTTTACATTCTTCAAAAAACCAGTCCACTCACATGTTTTTTATGTCTATGTAAACGTCCGGAGTCAAAATAATGATCGTAAATTAGCCCAAGTGCCTGACCTAACACTTAGCTAGTATTTTGTTGGGCTGAATATCAAAAGGAACAATAAGGTTCGTAGCTGCAGGGTAGTAATAATTCGACGGAAATCAAATGTGTACAATTATCATCAGTTTTTCACGTTTCTAGCGCCTAAAATGCACTGGTTTTACTGACCGGAACAGAATCAACGTCCGATGGTTAAACACGTCATCTGCCCGAATTCCCTCAGACACTCATGTCAGTATACAACTGTTCTACGGGGCGGCTTGTGCGGCAAGCGAGTGACGGGTATGGATGAGCAAACAACTGGAGACTAGGAGTACAAATGCGAAGTTATGAAATGAATGAGGGACTTACCATAAGGTCAAGTTTGCTTCAAAAGCCTGGATACCGCCAACATTACCTTTATGACTTAGTCGAAAATTCAGTTATAGCACCATTCCTCATTCCGTGATTAAGACAGTTAGCATTAGACCGTGGGGCGTCTGCCCCCTAACCATCGCGCCAGTGATAACTGAAACAGAGTTTCTTCTGTAACCATGTACTTTCAACACACTCAAGTGTCCTGAATGTTTCTCTAAATTATTGAAGATAAAGGTGTCAGCGAAGTTTTTTCTTAAACTTCTTTGAGTAGCTCCGAGAAACTTCGGAAATTTTACCACGCACACGTTCTACGTCCTGAAAATTTTTGGTTCCCTGAGGCAACAAATTATACACATTTTCCATTCTACTAGCAGACAGAAGCAATTCTGTCTGGATGATAAAATTATTATCCAGAAGACCGTCGTCTAATAAGCAGTCTACAGTTAGCAAATCTGGGCCCCAATTTTGGCTTGGGATCAGGGTGCGTTCCCTCCTAGCACCCAAATTTCCAGGATAGATTTAATCAAAACGTAATCGGATAACGGGAATCTTGTGGTGCCTGAACGACAGTATGCTGCACATTTTGTTGAGCCCTGAATGTGCTAGATATCGGGTGTATCACTCAAGATTTTGCAGCGTTTTCCTAATCTCATACGTCACGCATCTCCATCCAATTAATTACGTCGGAATTATTGGATATGACATAAGTCTTGTGGTTGGATTTTCTCGACGAACCGTTTTCGTTGTCCAACTCATCCAAAAGTTTCTCACCTGCTCGATAAATTAAAAGTTGTTCCCAGAAGAACACGAATTTCATTGATCATGTACATGCATATATATGTACCATGCGAATTGAACTTCCTCCGATGACATCTATTCTAAGGATCGACACACGTGTTTACTTGGCTTTAAGCTGGTAGAACTGTGACTCCTAAAGCCGCTGCAAACTGGTTTCGCGGTCACTATTGCTTCCAGCAAGCTGGGTGGTGCTACGCGCGTGCATTAGTTTCCGTGTTATAGTTTGCCGTTTCGTTAAACGATTCTACTAGTCACAGCCACATACTATTAGTGCGTGCGATCATCAAGCATGAGGATGCGCGCAATTGAGCTCTTCAAACGAGCACACATCCCTCTATTCCAAAGCAGTGGAAAAGACGGTTCACTGGGATGTATTTTTGTCCTTGTGGGCTTGTGCTAATATATTTTTCGCTGGCAACCAATAGTGTCTATAAAAGTTGATGCATTAAACATGTATACATAAAAAAATAACGACATCCGGGAGGCTAATTTGAGTAAACCAATTCACTGATAATTGCTGAATATTCCATGTCACCAACTGTTTGAAACAATAAAGCGCCGGCTGAAATAACCACTTTACTTAGTTCCCGCAAGCTAGGCGCTGCCGCGTATGTCGAAATTTTAAAGTTGAGTAATGCAGTATTTTTCGTGTTATAGCTTGCCGTTTGGTTTGGCCTCAGTCATCTGCCATGAATACATGCAGTTATCAAACAACTGTATATGTGCCACTGAGCTCTTCAAAAATCCCAGGTTTCTCCAAAGTGTCTGCGAGAGGGTTTTATTTGTCTTCATCCACACAACTGTGGGCTAAATACAAGAGCTAACAAAACATGCTGAAACGTTTGGGATTCTTCTGCTGTTGTAAAAGTAATTTAACGTAATGTCGGTGGGATATATTTTATGGATACATTATCACTTCCGTGATTATTGAATGTTTTCGGCATCTTTCCGCAGCGAAGCTATATGAGTTATTTCCCATCATATGTGGAACGCGCCATTTGGGGCGCCTGGTGGGTTTCGAGACCGTCAGATAAAATAATGGTCAAAAGAATAAATCTAAGAGAGCATGACAGCAAGCTAAATGAACTTACGAACCCGTGGACATTTGCTGGCTGCCCTAACGTCTAAGGACTAGCTGAGGTTGATGATGTATTACGAGAACAACATATCATCTTCCGTTGGCTCCCGCTCATCACGTAACTTCAAATAGCGATACAAGAGACCATCACTGGTGGTATGAACTGTGTTGTTTTGAAATCAGCGCCAATCGGTTAGAAGTCGTATGGACATGGCAAGATTATATTCCTAATTTTGGGAGTGTTTGGTCATAGGCATTAAGTTAGTGGGCATGGAGATAGCATGGAAAAGACGATTATGTGGTGGGTTGGATGGGGGTGGCGGTAGATGTTCGGCCGCTTTGACAATCCAATCAAAGGATCTCTCTTGGGCAGAAGGTGAGTTAATGTTGGCAGTAAGGGCTATCAAATAAGGAGTGGTTGAGCACCAGCTTAGATAATTAATAGAGACTATATTTCAAACGGAATCTGCTACCTAATTTTAACAGAAAGGTAAGGGTGTGATATACCTGTCGGAGTCATTACTGTTAGCTCCAAAACACGAAAGTTGCGCGGCAGAAACAGCCAAGTGGTGCCAACCCTGACTGCTGGTATTCAGGATCTAATAACGACAATACATTTTGCATGAATATAGTCGCTTCAGAAGTCGGGCGGGAAAAAAAATTGCGTTTTACGTCCGTCTGATGAAATGAACTCCCGGTTACGCAACTGAAAATATGATGAAGTTGGCAACGCCGTGCTTTTCGATGTCAGTCAAGAACCCCTCAGTGTAGCTTCAGATTACCCGATACATTTTTTCAATTCAAGTGAGGAGGACGTCTGTCATCCGCCAGACAATTAACAACGGCCTGCTGGAGAAGAAGACGGCGACATTTTTTCATGGATTTCCCGAGCCCCTGCCCGGAACTAGAAGCTACGTTGATTGGCGATACAAGTGTGCTACTGGAAGGTCGACGAATCTGGGAATGAACCATGGTGCAATGTAACTAGGTTGTATACCTCCACCACACGAGGTTTTTTATCCCTTGTTCATGCCACCAGATAAGCAGGGGAACGTGCCACTGAATAACCTAGAGTGCGGCTTGCGCAGTATTGAAAACCCTACTTACCAGATATTCTGTCCGGTCAGGTAGAAAGTCAG